CCCCAGCATACGGTTTGTATACTTGTGAAAATGATAATACAAATGGATAAACTCTTACTCAAATGTTTTCTCAACATTTCCTACTTTGAAGAATGTTCAGTCGCCTGTCTTTTCTAAATTTCAAACAAACTTTTAAAATGTTATAGAAATAAACTCATTTGCCAAAATATCAAATGTATATCTCTATACATGGACAAGTAAACTGATTACGCTATCTAAAAGTACACACATTCGTGAATTCGTTTTCACAGTTCCCTGTGTGCATGTGACCATGTAACATCGGGAACAAAGATGTTAGCCGCTCAAACTAACGTAATTTTTTTTTTTGTAAAAATGGGGTCAGGTTATGAAGTTTTATAAACGATTTCTAATATATCTTAGCTTTTTACTTAATCTTTGAAGATGGATATTTAACTCACTTTGTTAATTATAAAAAACAAAAGCACGCATTCATGCAAGCATGCACATACAAGCATGCACATACAAGCAGTCGCATACACAAACGCATGAAATATAAGTAAGCAGTCGCATAAAACGGTGGGCCTAGCCCCCCCTCCCCCCCCCTTTAGTTCTTTTTGCAGGCACTTCCTTCATCGAAGCAGGGAGGTTTAGGTTATTTGCCTTTTGTTTCATTCAGCAATGCCTCAGCCAAATCTAATTCAATCGAACGTACATGTCAATCATTTTTTTTGGATGGTAGCCCCTCCCCCCCTCCCCTTACAAACACACAAACAATTTGCTGTCTACGCGCCTGTGCCGATATGGCCAACGCGCGTGTGCTGAGTTAATAAAAACATAAATGACCTTACGTTCAACAGGAGACAACATAATTCATGACTAACAATGAACAATAAATCTTACCTGGAGTGATTAGATAGATAACATCTGAGGATTGCCGGGTAATTTGCTGAGTACAGATATGGAGTTAAACTATTTCACCGCGGAAAAAAACTAAAGGTCTTTGTGAAAGATTGGACTCTTTGCCAAGTCGGTTGGAGGAAAATAAACATCTTGGTTGTTGCGAAGGGAGCCTTCTTTATTTTGGAGAGGGTGGGAGCTTTTTCTCATCTCATGGAAGTTATGTACTATATAGATACCAAATAATAATCTTACTGCTTCGCGTATCTGATTTTTCACTACTGGCACTTTTTCTTTATTCTTCAGTTCCTTTCCTCATAAATTAATTCCATAGATTGATTATTTCTGTCAGCATTGTGCACATATTGGAGGACATTAAAGTGTCAGTTACCATGCTGCAGTAATTATTAAGCTGCACAATTGATATGATAAGATGACGTGCAGATTTCTTTGCTGAAAGAAAAATGTGTAAGAAATACAACACCAGTCACCATCCGTTCGCATGCCAATTGATCCTAACTCACCCGGGTTATTATCACTGCTAATTAGTGGACTTTCAGTGGCAAAGAGGTTTTCAGGCACCACTTAATACTGCAGCATTTGTTTCACGTTGTAACATATTTTCTTATTAACATTCCCTTTTCTTACCCAATGTCTGTATAGAAACTATAACTTCAGAAATGCCTTTTACGATAACTCCACGAATTGGGCATAGCAGTGATATAAACCAAATGAATAATAACAAACAGATATCAAACAAATAGAAAAGGCCTAGATACATTGCTAAGTATATATGCGGAACTCTAATACCATACCAGCACGTGCGTCAACTGGCTTGAGTCAACGAAGCCTGCTCTATGCATTGATTGTGGGCCCTTTCGGCATAAAAAAAAACGCCTTTGAAATAAGTATCGTGGTACATGGTCCGTCGTCAGAGAACCCGTTTACCTGGCAACAAGCCATCATCGATTCATGTTTGTTACGTCACAATGATCTAAGTGACGCAAAAATGCGATGACGAAATATAACAACGGCTGGCGTTACCGATTATGACTGTGGTGTTACGTTGCCATCGCTACAAGGCGTGTAAACACTGTCAGGTGACATTTATAGTATTTGTTTTTTATTATTTTGGGCACTTTTGTTCAAAACCAAGTGATTATAAGGATTCAGTGATGTTTATAACTGGAGCTTTAATGTTTTTTGCTTTCCTCAAGAAAGTTAAGGTGATATACAGACAAAAAGTATATTGTAAGTATTTCTTTTTAATTAACTTTATCGTATTTCTCCTCTCTTTATTTCTCTGTTCACCTTATCGTAGTTATTTCTATATTTTCTGCATATTACGCAAGAACTTTTCAACAATATTGTCCCTAATCTTAATCTTATCTGTAAACCGTTTATTTGGTGATGAATATCATTCAGCCATCTATTTTCCGTCTGCATCTAGATGTAATCATTCCATTTTATTCTATTGGTATTTTTACAGTTTTCATTGTTTCACCGAGTAAAATCAATGCACGTTGGATTTAATTAGACACAGTGAAACAGTCTAAAAACACTGGTAAATGATAATAATAAAACTGTACACATTTTATATGTAGGTAGTAATGGTGGGTGCAAAGCTGCAGTAGAGAAGTTCTTATTACAACATTATGTGAAAGCTCGGGTTGTCGGCGGTGAGAACTCTCTACCTAGAACAGTTTATATTTACCAACATGCATCTCTTTATTTCATAGTAACGTTGATAATTTTGAATGCTAATGAAAATAAGAATAAAATAAGTTTACATATGCCTCGGTCATCTGCCACAGGTCTAATGTATTTCGTGTTCAGGCGAAATAATCTCTCTTGTCTGAGGTTATTGTTATTTTACTTGGTTTATCTTTTGTATATATCTGCCGCAGGGGCTCGTAAGAAGACTAGACAACCGGCGAAACACAGAAGCCCAACAAACAGCGAAGTGAGTTCATATTTTTTCAAATCATTGAGTAGAATCAGGTCATAATTACTATATATATTGTACGGTGGAGTTTTCAACAGAATGAAAAGTTGAAAGCGGAATAAAAATACGGTCACAGCAGAATAATAGTTCATCCTCTCCTTTGACATTATATTAGATTGTTTTTTTTTAAAGTACTGTATTAGTGGGAATACATTTTGTAAATTTGAATTTGTCATCATAAAACATTTAATAATATCAAATATACTTAAAACTTTGATATTGGAAAAAAGTTTTATAAGTCTATAGCGGTCACACACTATCTATCGCATACAGTACATACGTACACTGGGGTGGTGTGGTCAGCCTGCTTTTACAGTGTTCAACACTCAAACACTATAAATAACCCAAGCCATAGTGTTGCCGTATCCTGAGGCATTACGTACTCAACCAAAAAGTTGAAAGGTAGTGACCAGGGCCTATATACGCAGCGTGTTAAGATAAGTCATGGAATATAGCTCGTCTATTAAAATGCATATACAAAAATTATATGGCTAAATAAAACGACTAGTCGAGACGTTGCAGTGAATCCATTGCCATAAATAACTTATCATAGACTATACCTCGTTTATCGTCCAGGGAATACTATATATGGGTGTCTATATGTCAAGGCCCAGCAAGCCGAGACAGAGCGCACGAAAGCGGACTAGCTTGGGACGACACATTGAGGGGTTCAGGGAAAGACTGGTACGACCAGAGGAAAGATCGAGCTTTATAAATAAATCCCATAAATCAGTTAATATGAACCTTCTTAGTGAATAAACGAGAGAGAGAGAGAGAGAGAGAGAGAGAGAGAGAGAGAAGAGAGAGAGAGAGAGAGAGAGAGAGAGAGAGAGAGAGAGA